GTGGAACTGCGCTCCGATGTCTGCAAGCGAGTAACATTGAGGGGTCTTGGTGACATCAAGCTGCACATGCATAGAGATTTTAGTTTTTGCCTTGACAAACTCTTCGATTTCATTTCCTCTGTGAAAGGTGGCGGAATAATCCACTTGGTTCTGATATTCTCTTAGGATGGGCGCTCCGGGAGGGAGCCGTTTCCATCTTGTGGCACAGGTGGAAATTGGTTTTTCTGGTTTCTGCGCACGTTACATGTTCTTCTCTGCCTTTTATGGAAACTCTCTGTATGTCATCCTTCCCTGCTTCATCTATGTGGACACAGTGGTAACACGCAAATTAAACTTAGCATTTTAGATAGAAGGACAGATGGACAATCCTACACACCGATTCACACAACAATGCACACAAGCTCGCTGAGGATGAAAGCTAATTCTAGTAGCGTTTGTACCTGCTTTTCCTCTGGCTGGTGTCTGTCGCTCTTGATCTGCTCGTTCTTGGCAGCGTGGGACCTGCTGCTCATCCAGGTGTTGAGGCATCACCTTGGTTGGTCCTTTCAGATTGCAGGAATGGGTCTGGTCCACCCAGCTCAGTCCTCACTCTGGGCTCCAGTTGGAGGGGCAGCGTAGTTTCGTGCCGCTGGTTCCTCTTCCTCTCCGGGATAGAGTAGTGGGATGCATCTTTTATTGGAGGGAAAGGTGATAATTGTATGTTGATACAGAACGCTAACAAAAATACCTTAATCATCAAGAGGGTATAAAAAAAGATATCACATGTTTTAACCTTAGAGAATTATTAAGCAAAAGTTTAAATATATGAGTCTGAGTAGTTTCATGCTATGTAATCAAGGGACTCCATAGGTTCAATGCACCAGGACGTTCCAATTTGCATACAGTTTGCCAGTAGGTGGCAACAAATGTATTTTTTAGCATATCTGACAAAAAAAACTTAGAGAAATTCAAGAACTGGATGTTAAGTTTAATTAATTATTACATAATGTTAAAAAATTTAAAGTGTACGGGTGTACCCGACAGTGGTTCAGATTTTTATTTGATGAAAATTTTCCAAAATTCTGAATAAAAGGCAATCTTCGGGAGCCCCAGACACTGATGTTTACATGTCAATGTCCATGAGCAAAAAGGATATCCTGGTCATGTGACCTCATAAATTGTATTTCCTTCAAAGTAAAAGCCCCCTTTTCACAACTAACTGTAAAAACATAGATTTTATATCACAGCTTTTTAGAAAATTAAGATAAAGTAATTGTTGCCATATGGCAACGCTATGCAATAGAGGGTTAAAATGTGTGACAGATGTGTGACAAAACAACATTATAATGAAGTACTGTAGTACTGCAGAGAGGCCCTGGCCTACGAATCTTGTTCTCTACATTAAGAAACCACCAAATTTCATGTCATCATGATTTTAACAGTCCTAAACGTTAAATGTTAAGATCAAATTTCTGATGCAATAATCGTGAGGTATATATCACAATCGCGAGATCTGTCAAAATAATCGCAATGTGATATTTTATTATTACCATATTGTGAAGTCCTACATCCAATCACAAATGAAGCTATTTCTATCCAATTATATACCATTTTTAAAATATGTACCATAGGGTTGGTTTAGTGAGCCAAACACACCACACGCTTTTATTTTGGTATCAAATGTTGGATATCGAAGAGATGAGCTCTTCCTCATCGGCATAGCAAGGCTCAGGAGGTAGAGTGGTCATCTAGTGATTGGAAGGTTCCCGGTTCGATCCTCAGCTCCTCCAGAGAGTATCGAACTCCTAACTGCTCCTGATGAGCAGATTGGTACCATGCATGACAGCCTCTGCCGTCAGAGTATGAATGCTGTGTGAATGGCTGAATGTTGGCATGTGTTGTAAAGCTCTTTGAGTGGTCGATAGACCAGAAAAGTGCTGTATAAATGCAGTCCATTTACCATTCCTCTGAGGAAATGTTTTCTTGTAACAGAAACCAACAACTCTTAAATGTAAAGAGCTGTTAAAAACAAGACAAGACATCAGTGGTGTGGCGATACTTTGACTACTTAAAGCCCAGTTTGCACTCTCAGTGAATGGGACCGTTCCAAACTGAGATAGGCTACAAGAGGTTATCACGACACAGATACTGTAGGTGACTGTGATACTGTTAACTGAACTGAAAATCTGTGCCAACAAAAACGGGGAAATATCACAGACTTTTATCACCTGAAGCAATGCCAGAAAGCATTCAGAGAGCATCGCCTACTCCCTCAAACACTGGCAATTAGACCCATCCTGTGGAACGAGAGAAACTGTGACAAACTAGACTGTTTCTGTGTGATTTCACCTCTTTACATCACATATGCCTTTGCTATTTTAATGGAAAATGACATGGTGCAGATAGATACCGTGAGAGTAATGAGAGATTTTAACTGATGAAAAATTGACCCAAGATGTAAGCTGTAAACATTTCACTCTGTGGGGTTCAAGGATTTAGACTGACGAGATTAAAAGAAACTGCAAGCTCAAGATTTCATTCATGTCATGATATATATATACCAACTGCTATGAAGAAAAGGACCGCGATCAATGAGGATTAGGGAAAGTTGGAAGTTTGGAAACTGTCTGGGGAGCTTTTTATTGTGGCAGAGGCGTTAATGATGATGGGAAAAATGAGGTTACAATGCCTTTGCATCAAATTGGTCTATATTCAGAAGTGATTTGGTGTTGACAAGGAGAAAGTTTGTTGCTGAGTGCTCTACATCTGTCACTCAGAGGGAGCTTTAAAGTACGGAGGCAGATTTCACTTGGCCCACATCGCTTCATTTCCCTCTACGTTCCCCCCCTCCGCTGCAGAGCTTCTGTCCCCTCTGAGCCTTGGCTAAGTAAGGTTAGGGTTCATATTGGCCTTCCCACAGTGAGCAGCTTTTAACCTCCTGCCAGCTTCATCAATCTCAGGCGGCTGTGATCGCTGCTGAGAGGGGCGGGGATTAAGAACAGCCCCGCGGTCTGTAAATCAGCCAAGCCTAAGGGAGGACCCCTCTCGTGTGCATCTTATAGGCCCAATAGGCACCATACGTACCCTATGAGTTCAATGTAGACTCACTCATCACTCCTAGCAGTTATACCCAAAGAGCGGACCTCCCTCAACCAGATGGCCGGACTGGTTCTCAATAAATGTTTAACGAGGGGAAAACAAATTAAATCAGAAGGCAAACCATCAAGCACAGTGTGAACAAAGTGTAATCCATCTAAGGTGGTGTTTGGTTGGTAAAGGATTTTGGCCAGCACAATAGGACAATGAGTACACATTGTCTTCTGGGGATTGTAACCCCCCCTACTCTCCCTTTTAACCAGGCCAATCTTACCAACAAAGCGCAAGCCAATTAGCACAAAGCCCTTACCTTTTGATTTTAATCTGTGTTTGGCAACATAAATCACCATGTCTGGGAAAGACTGAAACAAAGCACAGCCTAAGGCGTTTTCTGGATGACTTATAACTCCGAGACACAAATCTTCAGTTGGAAATCAAGTCAATAGGCCTGACTTGTGATTGAGTGGGGCAGATGTGTATTATGTATAGCACACCCAGAGTCTCGAGCCTTGTTGAGGCGTTAGGTGGGTGGGGCAGGGGTCATGAGCTGCTTCAGAAAACCCGGTATTGAGTCACAAACAGAGTTAATACCATTAACACGGGGCCCGGTTGAAAAGTTCAGAGTGCACGTTCATCTGAAAACAGACCTGCACCGAATGCATTAAATCCACTCTATTGTTCCCTGCTCAATTATTCAATTACATCTCCTGAACTGGAGTTTGACCTCAGTGTTTCCCTGTTGAGGTTGTAAAGCCAGAGAAAAGATGAGAAAAGAGTCCGAATTGGATTCAAGCACCAGTGTGAACACTGCACAGCTGGTAGAGAATGCATGTACAGCCCGTGTCTTCCCTCCACCAGTTTGATGCCCCATCAACACTGAAACAGCAATTACAATTACTGGACTTCATCAGTGCCGTGCTCCTTGCATGCTAAACCAGTTCTTTTTCACATTACCACCAGCAAAACTCCCTGCAGATTTCTCTAAAGCTCTGATGTTTTCCTATTATTTTTCTTTTTGTTATTATTATTACGGTGGGTGTGTTCGCTGTTCAGCTAATTACTCCGGCATGACCTACTGAGCTGGGTCAGAGCCAACACGAGGAAGACTAATGAACTAACACCCCAGAGGGTTAGCAGAGCTGTGCTACAGACACTAAGATTCCCATACATCGCTCTTTTCCGTCCTCCTCCTGCATTCTGGACCGATCATGTGCTCATTACGGTCCAGACTCTGCTCTGCTGGCTGGAAAATGACCCAGTGCTCTGTACTGTGCAGCCTGTCAGTATGCGAGTGCAGACAGCTTACTCTTTGTGACTGTTAACTATATATGCTATTTATGCCTAACACCCCTCAGGCAGCAGCATTTGCTGCAATGATAGATAAATGTGTTGCTGCATTGTTAATCTGTTTGAGTCATTATTATCAGGAACATGCAGGCACAGATCCAAACTGCACCGCGATGTAATCGGCTGAATAGTATCTTAACTTTGATGGTAATTTTGATTCTAATCTAAATGCCGTTTTCTTCCAGTAATGCTGAACATCTGCCATGCATTAATAAATCCACAGGCTCCTTCATTCGTTTATTTATTTATTTCCATTGTTCGCATGGAAAATACACTTTCTGCTACACACTTCCACAGACATCAAACTACAAAACAGTTTGAGTCCCAGGGGGAAGCGGGTGATAGGAGGCTTTAATGTGAATATTTCTTTGTCGCAGCAAAATTTGAACTAGCGCAGAACAGAGTCCCTGTTGATGCAAATGAAAGTGTGCGGTGTGTGTGTCTGGTTATGCCTGGCTGAGCAGAGAGCAGTCGGGCTCCCAGTCACGGGGGATTTGTTCTGTTTGGGGTTTGCCTTTTCCGTCTGCCAGCGCGTGGGTGGATTCATGGGGCCTTTTCCGTCTGTGCTGCCTTCACAGGTACCGCATCTTCATCGTGCCAGAGAAATGAACTGAGGACGTACGGGGGAGAGAGAGAGAGACTCGTTTCTTGAGGACAAAGATTCAACCATGAAAGCCATGAGGTTGCAGAGGATTCTGGGATTGGTCGCCGCGCTGGGCGTGATCACCTGTATTTGTGCCTTTCATACGACTGCAGCCGTCGACATCCCACTTGAGGGTGAGTGCTGTATTTGTATTTGTTTCAGTGACTGTTCTCTCTATTATTGTAATGTACATTTTCAAAGCTGTAAGCACTACAAATAAACTTCCATTCACTTTGATTATGTTGCTTTGGAAGCATAAATCTTAGAGAAAGATATGTCAAAAAGCATAAATAATACCAAAACTATGAGGATAGGATGTTTTTTTTACAGCACCATAGGTACCGAAGAAGCAATTCTTCCGGACCTACAAATACTTTAGTCAGCCGTTAAATGCAACAGGAAGAGGATGGCGACAAGTGCAGCTGTACGGGGGCTTTACTCGCAAAACTTTTTGTGCACAGCGCTCCGTCGTTAGCTCTCTCCTCTGCGTCTCTGTCATTGTGCTGTGTGTGTGTGTGTGTGTGTGTGCGTGCGTGTGCAGGAGCTCAGGCCGCAGTGGAACACTGATGCGGGCGGGGCTGAGCTCCTGCTCTGAGGCGAGACAGAAAGCGGTGGAGAGCTGCATACTCACCAAAGCTCTGCAAACAAAAAGCAATTAAGTGTAATTTATTCATGTAATCAGCACAAAATATGTACAGATGAGGAAAATAAACACTCAGAAGGATACAGTTAATTCAGGTAACTCAGGTAAAGGCTGCACTGAAACGGTATATATAACTGTATATATATATGGGCTATATTCATAATAATATATTATGTATAAAAAACATTAAGGAACAGCTTGGTTGCAGGGGATTTTTTTCCTAATGCAAGGCAGAGCTATTCACCTGTACCGTGGTATTAAATTGGTATGGAGAATTGTGGAATTTCACTGGTACTGAACATCTGGTATCGTGACATCCCTACCCGACCCTTTAAATCATTGCTCGTACACTGTAAACTGATTCAACATTAAAACTTGTTTCCTCGCTGCTTTCAAAATGTGAGTTAACTAAACCTTAATAAATTGTTCACTCGGCTGGTGAGTTGTGAAAATGTGAAAGCAAGTGAAATAAATGTACTGAACTTGAGTCAAAACAGTTCTATTAACTGATTTACATGTATTAAAAGACAAACTGGAGAGTTTTAACCCTCAAACAATGCATGCTGGGAAGTCTTCTAATGTGAATTGTGTTTGTTTGAAGAGTTTAGTGAAGACTCAACAGTAAATGTAGTTTATTTGTTCTGAAATGGCTTTGAATTAGTAAAACCTGTCCATGTATATAAGTTGTTGTTTGATGTTTTAGAGTTTTGAATTTAACGTAACTGTACTTAACACACATTATAAGCCACTTCAAGACACTCATTGATGAGACAAAAAGATGCAGTCAAGTATATAAACAAGGAAAGGGTGTGTATAAGGGGTCTCATCTTCAGAGAAGTTCTTTTATGAGAAAAGCACTTCTGAATAATTTAGAGAAGAATAAATCCCACCAGAGAGAACTGTTACAATAATCAAGCATTCTGTGAATGGAATATATTTACAACTATTATCTTGTTTGAATCAGGTTTCTTGTTCCTTTTGTGTTGAATGAGCATGTATCCCAGTTTCCTTGGAAACGCATATCAAACCTCTCCCTTTAAATTATTCAGAAATATCTTTTAAGGGCTTGATAAAAAAAAACAAAACAGTTCAAACAGGTTTTCTGAAAAAAGGCAAAAGCATTTTTTGGTCTAACTCAGTGTCAAAATATCTGTTTAATTCAGTCTTGTGTTTTGCATTACTCAATCGTGTGTTTAAAAGGGTTTATATAGAGAATGCCTGTGAAATAAAGGGATTATTCCCAAACTGCTGACTGTTTTTGTTTTGTTTATTTTCCCCCGGCTGCCATGGATTTTGTAGTTTTAGGTCATGTAAACAGTAAGTTCACTCTGCCATACTCTAGCTGGTATTAGTCACATCCTCGGCTCTCATCTGTTAATCTCCTGGCTTGCTGTCAAGCACAGCAGCAGCTTTACTTACAGCCATATGTGTTGGATCGGAATCTCATGTGTCATCAGTCATGACTGTAATACTAGGACTCATGGCATGTCCTCATTTTCCTTTACACTTGGTCACATAGTACTGTTAATACTCATTGTGTTGTGTTTTTTCCATGCTTAGCCTGTCACAACTCTGTCATCATAAGATCATATGAGACCTAATAGCAGAGTTTTATGCCAAAATAAGACCAATCTAACAAATTGCTGAGTCATTTAAATGGAAAACCATCAACTAATAGACAAAATAATACATGTTTTAGTTATTTTGAGTCAAGTTGTCAAAATTTTATGATAATGTTTTGGGATAGAACTCTGCTTAAAGAGACATATAATAATACACATCATAGTACAGTGGCTCCCAACCTGGAGGTCGGGACCCCGCAAAGGATCCCAAGGAGAACCTGAGTGGTCACAAGATGATTTCTGTCAGGCAAAACTTGGTTATTTTTCCTCACTTTTTCCTCGAATGGATGACGAACATTTCATGTCAGGATTATCCTGGCTGATATAATTGCGATTCACGATATTATTATATTAGATTCATTTTAATATTAAGTTGAAGTACTCACAGGTCTATTATCACTAAGGTCATGTAACCTGCGATGGTGGTCACAAGCAGACGTGGCTTTGTTTGTAGGGGTCACGAGCCAAACAGGTTGGGAGCCACTGCCTTAGTATCATTCCGAATATGAGATACTTCTGAATAGAGCTCCGTATTGAGGCTTGTGTTGTGGTTCTCACGTTTTCCTGCTTGTTTGTTTGTTGCCCAGTTGAGCAGCTGCCCACCATAACAGCTCAGTCGCCCAGCTCTCTCATCGCCTTCCCGTTCGACGAGAGCTTCCCCATGACGTGTGAAGCCAAAGGGAATCCCGAGCCAGAGTGAGTACCGAGCCGTGCATCACTTCAGATGGGAGGAGGAGAGAGTGGAGTTCTTGTTAGCAGCCATACAGACATCAATAACAAACAAAAACAACAACATTTTGTATTTGGTTTGGAACTTTGGGCATTCTACAGTCTTAGCGGAAGAACTTGACATCTCAATGCTGACTTTCTTTATGTAGATTCAGATGGACGAGGAATGGCCAGGAATTCGACCCCTTTCTAGACCCCCGGCTGATGAAAGAGGAGAATTCTGGGACCTTTGTGATACCCAATAATGGGAACCTTACAGAGTACCAGGGAACCTATCGCTGTTACGCCTCAAACAAACTGGGGACCGCCATATCGAAGGAGATTGAGTTCATTGTGCCCCGTGAGTATCATACATCTGTGAGAGAGTGTGTGTGTGTGTGTGTGTGTGTGTGTGGTGCTCTGTTACAGTGCTTTCAGAGTGATTCAGGGCCAGTAGTCCTATGTAATGACTGCACCCCTCTATTGTGAGCTTTTCATTGTATTGGACGTGGCAGAAAGTCATTGAGGCTCTCGAGCGCCCCACCCCTTGCAGCATCTCATCCATAACTCTGTATCGAATGTGATCTAGCCTCTCCATCATTTCCTTTGCTACATTTTTCATTCTGTTCACAGGCACAACACATAAATTCTCAAAGAAAATCCACTCCAAGGGGGACTTTTACTAAATTTGGCTGGGCTTCAAGCACTCAGCAGTGGTGACAAGCCATACACAATAGTGGTAGTGATGTCTGTTTTGTTTCTACAGGCCAAGAACTCCATAGAATTCAATCTGGTGAATGATACAGAGCTCAGAAATGCTGTGCCTCCCACTGAATACAAGAATGATATTACTGCCATCTTCTGGAGAGGAAGAGAACTGCATAGTGTATTTTATTCATTCATGTCTGGCTTCATTCACTCACAGTAAGTTCTCTTTTTTCTAGATGTCCCAAAGTTTCCTAAAGAGACACTTGATCCTGTTGTGGTGGAGGAGGGCCAGCCTTTTACTTTGAAATGTAACCCACCTAAAGGAATACCTCCTCTGCAGATTTACTGGATGACTATCAGTAAGTGCTTCCCTTTATTTTTAATAAATTAATAATGGTGCAATTTAGTTCAAAGTATTTAAAGGTACAGTTTTTATTCTTACCTACAATATGCTGTGGTATGTGCTTTTGGTATATTTATTGCCCCTTACCTCCTGAACTGATTAACCCATTGTACCTCACTGATCTGAACCTGGTCTGTCATTAAAGTACGTCTAGTAGGAGTAAGTCCAACTGTGCAAACAGACATTGTTCAAAACCAAAAATTCAACTGGAGATCGCAAAGTTCCTCAAATCCTTTTTCAGTGTAACTGCTAACAACTCGTGGATTTGCAAAACGTGATCAGGGGCCCACAGCAGACACTGTTGTTTTATAGACATTTACAAGCCATTAAGGTTGGGAACCTCTGGTTTAAAAATGTCAATTCTTTGTATTTTATGGAACTGTTTTGTATGTAATGTCTTAATCGGAAAAGTAGTAACATCGGTCAGATAAATGTAAAAGTACAGCAATATTTCCTTATGAAATGTAATACTCAAGTTAATATACATACCTCAAAATTGTACAGAAGTACAGTGCTTGAGTTAATGTACTTAAGTACATTGTACCACTGCTTAACGGGGTAAAAACTGTATGTTAAAGTGTTAAAGCAGAGGACAGTCCAGTGGTTTTAAGACTAAGTACCAAAAACATGGAAATAAATAAAGATGTCCATGAAATCATCCTGTTTCTGTGCTCAGGTCTTCAGCACATAGAACAGGATGAGCGGGTGTCTATGGGCTTGAACGGAGACCTTTACTTCTCTCACGCGGTGGAGAAGGACAGCAGGAGGGACTACTGCTGCTTCGCCGCCTTCCCGAGAATACGAACCATCGTTCAGAAGACCGCCATGTCTGTAATTGTCCAGACAAGTACGTGTCAATCCAGCTTCTTTGTCTTCACTCGAGTGCTGTTTTCCACTGAAACAAGCATGATGCAAACCTTGATGTGTCTGTCAGAGCAGTGATCATTTCCCAGCATGTTCATTCATGTCCATATTCATAGCTACACTTCAAAAGCCATCCAAGTGTCACTCTGTCTTATGTGCATCTCCTTGGTTTTATGTTGTGATTTTGATCTTGGTGATGTATGTCATGGTGTTTCCATGCTGTCCTCATGTTCAATATTTTGTTTTTTGTTTTTTGTTTTGTCTCATCCACCTCCATTTCAGAAAAAAGTGACACCAGTCCTGAAACTGGTAAGTTTGAAGTTTTAAGTGTAAAACCTTGTGCTGTGCTTCATCTCTTAACATCTTTGTGCACAAGGCATGTGTGAGAATATAAATGTATAAAATATACAAGTGTAGCTTTTGGGGAACTGCATTACATGTGTGGTTTCGATTATACTGTCTAATTCTCTGGTGTACTTCCTTAGCCAATGCAATCCTTGAGAGAAGACCCTCTCTTCTGACGCCCTCTAGTGCCAGATCAGAGACACAGCTGGTCAAAGGAGAGGACTTGAAATTGGAGTGTATTGCTGAGGGATTGTAAGTAATACTGCCTTTTAACGTTTATTACATATTTTAGGATTTTCTTTGTCCAAAAACAAACCAAAACTAGTTTCAAAACTGATATTTCAAAGATGTTATTTACATGTTTGTATGTATGTTCTGTCATGTATGTAGGAAATATCTAACTCTTTGCCCTCTTTATGTTAGTCCAACTCCACAGGTTGAGTGGGTGAAGATGGGTCATCGACTTCCCATTAAAGCAAAACTGGAGAATCATGGGAAGTTGCTGATTGTGCCGAGAGTCGAACAGGAAGACAGTGGGAAGTACATGTGCAAAGCAAAGAATGCACTTGGAGAAGCTGTCCATTACTTCACAGTGACAATAGAAGGTAACTACAGCATTGGATACAGTTATAGTTTAGTTGTCACGTCTAACTTATTTGAAATCATACTAGTAATAGTTTTAATTTGATTAGTAGATCCTCTTTTTTTCAAAGCAGTGTTTAGAGCAGAAGCTCTAACAAAACAGTGTTTGATAATTAAGTTCAGTTCTAAAAGGAGTACAAAGATCCTTTACTTAAGTAAAAGGACAAATTTGAATATGTAAAAATACTCCTTAATACTACTTTAATACATTGAATGTAAAAGCTGCTTGAAGTGGAGTTAATTTCAAGATTTTTACAGTATATACTGTTGTGTACTTCCAATTCCAGTTCTTCCCAACCTAAGAATCCAGCCCTCCTAATGGTCGTATGATAAATCTGAGGGTTTTTATGATGATCAATAGGGCAGGAAAGAAGAAAAAACTAGGTTTTGATACACAAATTTGGATTCATATTTTGTACTTTTCTCTTTTCTCTAAGCTTTACTTTTTGTGAAATATTGGATAATTTAACCTCTTAGACCTTTTATTTAAATGAAACCATTTGAGAAGTTCTGAGAGGAAATCTTTAACAACCCATAGTCATTTGAAATCCAGCTAGACAAAAAGGTTAGATACCACTGTTATAATCTTTAACAATGTGTTGTATTTTATAAGCTCATTTATTCTAAATAAATGCCAAATAAATGTAGTGAAGTTAAAAGAAAAATACTTCCTTTTGAAATGTAGTATAAAGTAGCAGAGAATGAAAATACTCATAAGTAAAGTAGACTACCTGAAAATTGTACAGTTTTATACTAAACCTCCAATGTACTTTACTTAGTACATTGTATGTACACTGTGTTGGGTCTGTAAGTTTTAAGAAAAGAGCATCGTTATTGGCACATCACTATAGAGGCAAAGCTATTATGCATATAAATTACTATGATGCAGCTAGGAGTGAAACATTATCTTTTGTGAGAGATATCCTGTAATGCCTAATATGTGCCAATCTAATGGTGAGGCAGTAAGCAGCTGCAGTGCTCTTATCGGTCTGTCATCTCTAAATGTAGCATTCCTCGCAGCAAGACTTGAATAACATATATTGCATAACTGTTCCTGTGATATTGTCCACTCTGTGTAAATGCTCAGTGCTTTTCTTATAATGACACTCATCATGCTGACTGTCTTCCCAGAGCCTCCAGAGTGGGTGTCTGAGCCTGAGAGCCAGCTCAGTATGATTGGCTCAGATGTGCTCATCAAGTGCTCTGCCAGTGGGACGCCTCAGCCGACTGTAACATGGAGGGTGAACGGAGTACCTCTGCAGGGTCAGTCCCAACAACCTCACTTTAGACACACTTGACTATTTAAAACCTTTCTTGGTCCTGATGATCGGGCTATTTTAATAAGAACAAAATAGCTAAATGTTGATGTTGTCTTGCTCTCCTTTTTATTACAACATATTACATAACATATAACATGGTGTTTAGTAGTGCGCAGGAGAGACAGCCCTGGCTTCTTGGACTAGGGGTGTGATTCTTCAAATTTTGGAAGAGGCTTGTTATTATACATTCCCCTACTAATGATGAATAAATAATAAATACAGTCTTATATTAAAAGTAGATTTTGATGTAAAATTATGAAGGGGAAAGTATTGTAAGCATGTTTTATTAAAGGGGAACTCAAAAGTCTATTTATCTATTAGCTTCTGCAACGAGGCTAAAAAGTTTTAGTAATCTGTAATTAAGACTGTGAGATACGATAACATACGGTTTATGGTTTAGATGTTTAGCAGACAGGGATATCTAGTGCAACATTCAGTAAGTGCCAACAATGTAAGACAGAAACACTCAGGGGACAGTTGAAAAGTCTGTTGACGTTGGAAAAGGGTCTTTGGCTAGACACTTTGCAGTCCTGCCAGAGTCAGGACGATCATTCCACCGTGTGTGTGTGGAGGGAGAAGAGTCAGTACAGGGCAGAGAGCTGGCTAGGAAAGGGAGCGGGCCAAGTGTAGCGTTGAACCTCTGGTAGCCAGTGAGGTATAGATAAGAAGGGGGGAAATTTAAACTGGAGTTTTGAGTTCAGTCACCCTCAACTATTACATGTCTTTAATCTCCATACAGTGTAACTGCATGAGTACTGACCATCTCCATGTTTTCTGTTGACTGAATGTCTCTTTGGTCCATTGCAGAGGCCCCTGCAGCCAACAGGAAGGTGTTGGGTGATACCATACTTTTACGCAACGCCAAAGCATCTGACAGTGCAGTCTATCAGTGTGAAGCCTCCAACAGACACGGAACGCTCCTATCTAATGCAAACATCATGATAATGAGTAAGTACGACAGCTTTTAGTTCACGGCTTTCATCAGTTTAGTTTCACCATCATGTTTTTATCAAGTACAAGTTTGTGACAAATTGTCAGGCACTTGGAGTCATTTGGAGACTGCTGACTGATGTGTCAAGCTAGAGAGTGGGTGCTGATGTTGGCATATGCCCATAAAGCAGTGAGGAGCCCAGGGATGGAGTCCTGTCTACAAGCTGTACTCCTTCATTCAGGCGAGCGTTTCTCCCTATAGAGCAACAAGCCCAGTTTCCTGCCATTTATATGCTAACAAGTTCCTCCCTCAATCCCACACTGATATCAGGGCCATAAGACAAACATGTGCTGCTTTACAAGTGCAGATAAAAAAACAGAAGAGACAGAATGTTGCTTTCGGTCGCTCCGCACAAACGTGGACAGTTTGTTCTCGGTGACACAGGAGTTAATAAAGCTGGACAGTCTCTGAATGCTAAGTCCCAGCTGCTGCCTTTGTAAACAATTAGGAGAGACAGACCATTTTAATGGGAGGCTTTGGCTACAACTGATAAGGTGCTCGCGTTCGGCTAACTCATTATTCTATTGTTTTCTGCTTTGATTTCATTTTCACAATGACACATTCCTGACAGCTGAATCATTTTTTGACACAAAGCAGCCTACAGTGAACGCACAGGGAAGGCAACAGTGTTGTCGCGTCATTCAACCATCATTTGCCTCATTGTTTTATCTGGTTTTATAACCACTAAAATACAAACCTGTCTCTCAATGTTACTGTTAGGTCTACTGCCTGAGAGTTCTGAAAGTGCAGCAGTTAAGGGCCACACCTAGGGCCCTCTGTGGTGGAATACCCGCATAGGAAACCCTCTGCTTTTTTTCTAACAACCTTAGATTGATGATTAGATTTTGCCACATGGTCTTTACAGATCTGCCTCCCATGATTTTGACCAAGGAGGGGGAAGATTACTCTGCTGTCGAGGGGAAGGGAGTGATGATGCACTGCAAGGTCTTCAGCTCTCCTCCATCTACTGTCACTTGGTAAGTTTGTTCCTGTCTCCCACACACCAGCAGAGAGCAGTAGATCTCAACTGGTCGATGCATACAATCCCCTCTGCACACAGTGTGTTTCTGTACTGGTACACTGCTGTTTCTTTAAAACACGCCAAAGTAACTCTGTCGCTCAACCCTAATGTTCTATTCAGTAACTTTGATTCCTTCTTTGCTGCCACAGTCTAGTGTTTATCCGTTTAAAGCGCTGCTGTGTTCATATTTGATTTGACCTGAGAGAACCTTGAGCCTTTAATGGGTGTTTGCTCTGAATGTTTTCCAGGAGCAAAGACGACTCCGCTGAATCCGTGGAGGGGCCGAGGTTTGCCGTTCACGACAATGGGTCGCTGGAGATCTACAGCCTGGAGAAAGGCGACACAGGGCAGTACACATGCTTAGCTAAAAACACAGAAGGATCTTCTGCCATCGACACCATGCTCTATGTGAAAGGTAAACTGTTTTACGTGTAAAAGTGTTTGCAGCCGCTTCCAGTCCTTGAAATGTAACTAATACTGTTGTGCCTATGGAAGATCCCACTAGAATAGTCGTACCCCCGGAGCACCTGCAGATCTTAATAGGTACCACGGCCCAGCTCTCATGCCTCGCAGAGTACGACAAGTCCTTCAACAACGACATTGAGCTCCTGTGGGAAAAAGATGATATGGAGATAGCCCTCAACTACACTGAGAATTCAAGGTAGGGTACTGAATATTACTTCTTTTTTTTTACAGTGTTGCAGACTTAATCCCAGCTGGAAAGTAATTTTACTTTTCAGGTTTGTCAATCAATATGGTGTCTCCATCCTTCTGTCAACAGATACTTTGTGGAGGATGGTATTCTCCAGATTATCAATGTAAGCCACTGGGACCAGGGTGTGTACACATGTGTGGCAAGAACTCCGGTGGATCGAGACACGGCCTCAGCGTGGCTCATCGTGTTAGGTGAGCTAACATATCAGCAATATTTCTGCTCCCAGGCCAAAGGATCAGACACCCCCAGTGCTACGTTAATGTCTGACACATTCATGAATGGATCGATATGTCAGGGAAATCAAAGCAGAGCATGAACACGCAGACCATGGCTTTATTAGTGCAGTGCTGTGTCTGGCAATCACCCTTCTGAGATATTTGTGACATTTTAAAGTCTAAAAGAAATAGTGGCAGCCTATGCAGCGATGCAACTCGTTCCACATCCTCTGGTATCCTCAGGATGATTTGATTGAACATTTGTTCCCTTGGCCTTTTTTGCTGCAGAGATTGATGTGTCTGTGATTTTCCAAAGCCATGTTGTTGTGATGGTTTTCAGACGTTCCTGATGCACCGGAGTACTTGGTACTGTCTGAACGCAAGAGCAAAAGTGTGAAACTGAAATGGAACCCTGGGGACGATCACAACAGCTCAACCACAGGTAAAAGGAACATATGTGTGTGCAGGTGTCAGCACGTAAAGTACATACTGAATCAGTGCTTCTTGCAGTGAATGGTATTACTATGACATACACATTTCTGGGCGACATTCTGCATGTTAATAGGCTTGTTTGATACCATCTTGTACAATCTATTATTGATTCTTTCAAGCATGAATTACGATTACTCTCCCTGAGGAACATACAAGCCCAGAGCAGGGGTTTGAGGAGGTTTCTGCACAGCTGGTGGTTAGATAAGCAATCCTTTGGCAAAAACCATAGCAGCGAGGGATCGCTCTGATTGTCTTTCTGCCTGTCAACAGAGTTTATTATCGAGTATGAGGAAAGCCAGTGGGAGCCAGGGAACTGGAAGGAGCTGCTCCGAGTACCTGGGAACCACAACTCGGCCGTCCTCAAGCTCCACGGCAACGTTGACTATTGTTTCCGCGTGTCTGGGGTGAACTCTGTAGGCAGGGGTCCATCCAGCGAGCCCACGGAGAGATACAAACCCCCTGCGGCAGGTCGGACGCTTCCTCCTTTCATTGTTTATTATACTTTTTGATAATGTCCTCCAGGCACTTCAGCTGCCAACACTGCTGCTCTTTGAACTATAAAACACTCAGACCTGCTACATAATTGATTCCATTTTTGTTGAAAATCTGTTCTCGTGTGTGTCTATTCAGCAGAGATTTCTTCCACTAACAATGCTGACAAAATCTATATTCCTTCTTTTCCACAGCTCCTGACAAGAACCCTGAAAATATCAAAATCGAAGGTCATTTGCCACATGAAATGGATATCAACTGGGAGGTAAGAAATGGAGTTTGTTCTTTTATTATTACCTTAGTGCAAAATTCTGTAATGCCGGTCACCTTACATAGTTAATTATTATCTGCTACAGTTTTTGGAACGCACAGAATTTCTCCAAGAGAGCATGGATGAAGTTTCAATGTTTCATAGGCAATTACCAATAGAAAATAAGAATGGTCCACTTTTGATATTTCATTAGGTGGTTCAGATCTTTAGAAACACCATTTCCTGGGATCACCGTGAATGGGTTTCCAATGAAAGCTGCTCCTTTGATTAGAAAAAGAAAAGAGCAATGAAAAGGACATTTTTCTTTTAAAACGTACAGTAATATATTCAGCTTTATTATAGGAAGATAAATCTCTCCTTCACTTATTATCTGGTTGCCCTGTCATGGTAACGTAGGCCTTGAATCCTGGATTCATGAGCTTTCCCACTGTTAATGATTTGCTTTCGTGGATAATGGTATCTTGTTCTATTTCTCACGGTCCAACTTCTATGAGGAGATAAATCTTTTCATCTATGATGTCTTGGCAAGCCCTATATCAAAGCAGAGCCATGCTGCTAGACCAGGTCAATTGTTCCATTGTTTTATTAGATAGGGGGATAAAACACTGCCAGTGTTCCAAGCACAGTTCACTGGGCTGGCTTGTCATTTTAATCCCACAGAGGCAGTGACATTGAGTGGTGAAATACAAGAAGTGTCTTATGCAACTGTGAATGTCTCTATGAAACTATTCACACCATTGTTCTTCCTTCTTATTTTTACCTTCTTATCCTTCCATTACTTAGCCCTTGTTACCCATTGAGCACAATGGTCCCGGTCTGGAGTATAAGGTGAGTTACAGGAGACAGGACTTGGAGGAGGACTGGCAGGAACACATGGTGAAGAGACACTCGTTTGTGGTGACGAACACTCCCACCTTTGTGCCCTACGAGATCAAGATCCAAGCAAAGAACAATCAGGGCTGGGGCCCCGAACCCAAGATAATGACTGGCTACTCAGGAGAGGATTGTGAGTAGTGATCTTTGTTGTGAATATTTTTGATAAAAGTTCTATGAGTAATGTGAAAGGGATGACGAAACAGCAAGGAAGTATTACCGATAGTTCCCCATAGCTCTAGGAAGCGAACGGCAGGCAAACTTAGCAGCTAGCTGGTGAACATAGTGGAGCATTAAGCAGCTGCAAGTCTAGTAAGACATTCTCTGGTCAAAAATCGAATTAAATAAACAGGAAGTGTTTCTGTTTCAGTAAGAGTGAGAGCACCATCTAGAGAAAGCTAGACTTTTGAATATTTGCATCTGTTTTCTTGTTGCTATTTTTGGTGAAAAGACATTGCAGATAATACTCCTGGTGGATCAAATTGATTATGCGTCTGGAGTTTACTGACTTGAACTCGTATGGTCTCTGCGTATTGAGGTTCACAAACTTTCCACTCACCTCTCGCTGCCATTTGGATTTGGCAGAGTGCAAAGCAGCCACTGTAGCTTAAGGATATGTGATTTTATGGAGAAAGATGTGGTTTAATTAAAATCTTTCTTTTTCCCCTTTCTGCTTAACTCTGATATTTTCAGCTCAGTATTCAGGTGGATTTTGTGAAATGATTTATTTATAAGCTTTCTGATCTTGTTGAAATATTTTAGACTTGGAGTTTGACTTAGACTTTTCAGTTTCAAGGTTGCGTACTGTAGAAGTTACAGTAAAAGAGTAAAACAGTCTGTACAGAAGTTTACTGTATTTCCTGTGTTTAGCTTTCTTCTGGACTTGCCCCCAAGAAGTCACCTCAGGTCATGACTCTAACTCTAAATATGGTGTTATTAAATGCAGTATTTACACCCTTTAGCTCGGTGGTTTTATCATTCATGTTAGCTTTTGTGACTGTGGGTAGAGTCATGTGATATCCGTCCTTAATAGGTGTTCCTGTGGATAGATAATCACTTAATAAAGGTAGTACAATAGTATTTTTGGTATTTCTTGTCTTTTGTACATTTCTGATGTTGTATTAGTATGAAATGATTTTAGTTTGTTTCAGTATAACTCAAACGGGTTTATCTGCAAGTCTTTCCTTGCTGCTCTTGTTTTTCCGTGACTCACTTTCATCTTACTGTAAATTCGAATGTGTTTGCCTTTGCAGTTCCCTCTGCTGCACCTGATGATGTAGCTGTGGAGGTGATGAACAGCTCAGTGGTCAAGGTTAGCTGGACGCGTGTACACAAGGACAAGTTACATGGACATCTGGGAGGCTACAGGGTAATACCTCAAAAAACAGGGCTTTGCTTTTAGACACAGCTTAAAAGGAATGGCCCTGACCTTACTCTAAACGTTTGCTTCTCTCACCCCGCTCTGTCTCCTTTATTTGGCCAGCTCAGGGCACAGACCACCAGAAAAATACCCCAATAACTCATCCAGCGTCCTCTCACACGTATACATATTTATGATGTACAAAGTTTGTGCGTCTCTTTCCCTATGCAGATAAACTGGTGGCGTCTGCGCAGTCTGGTGGACTCAAAGAAAAGCCACGGAGACAAACACACTCTAACAATCCCCGGGGACAGGCACCATGCCGCCGTACCGGGATTAACGCCCTTCTCTGAGTACAGCCTTATCGTTATGACCTTCAACGGGCGGGGCAACGGCCCGGGCAGCCATCCCGTCAACTTCAAAACCCCAGAGGGAGGTAGGATTGTGGAAAAACAGCATGGAGTGTATTGATTCACAAGTACTGAAGGGAAAATCTAATAATAGCCAAAGAAACTGTGTTGCAGAATTCGACTGCTTACTGTGTGTATTACCTTCTTTGCCCCCACAGTCCCGGAGAAAAATCCTGTTTTCAGGGTCACAGATGTACAGAAGCACACTGTCTCTTTGGTCTGGGCCCCGCCATTGGAGCCTAATGGGATTCTCACCGGGTACCTCCTCGAGTATCAGCTCAGTACGTATTCCTACACCTCATCCTTAGACTCAACTAACTCAAATTTAACAACGATGCCCTTTGTGTTGCCACGAGGATATATTGTTTCTTCTCGTGTTTAATGGTGTTTACACTCCTCTGTTCCTTTTCAGCTTGAACCCTCTTAAGAAAAAAGAAATTGAGTGCATATAAAAACACACAGGCCATATATTTCATTTTGGAAACAGTGACTGCATATCAGAGACCTGAACAGCTTCACCGTTTTAAACGCACAACCTCTACCTCCATATTATATTCCATTGTGTTGATACAGACAGGAGTGTATTGCTAAAAGAAAGGAGGAGGATCTTTGACTTGGTGGTGATTGTCTAACCCCTAATCCTCAGCACAGAGAGGAAAATCATTGTGTTGCTCTAATAGGGTCTGGGTCACTGTGAGATCAGAGTGTGTGTATAGGAAACATGTCAGGGTGATGTCTGCCGGCCTGCGTGTCACGATTATGCCTTGCCTAGTGCTGACCAGGGCCACAGTGTCACAGTCTGTTAAGGTCCACTTTTACTGACCCAGTCCTGTCCGCAGGGGACATCTCCGACATAGCTCACAGTCCCCGGGGGATACCATCACACATCCCCTGCGTGCACACACTTCTGCTGTCCTTAAACAAAAGTCATATCCAAGCTAATGACTAACTTCCAACATCATCTTAGTGCTGCATTTCTCGGCTAATTGAGTTTGATTTGGCGGCTGCACAAGAGGGCCGACTGTCATACAGTATTTCAGGAGAGGACGTTTTCATTGTGCCACAGCAATAAAGCTGATGGACTCTTTGAAGTGTGACTTTTTTTTTTAAGTCCCCTTAAAGGAAGTCATGTGTGAAATGTTGAGGATAATGTAGCCAGCTGTCAGTGGATCATCAGTGACACACAAGTGAAATTCAAGCTGCAGCACAGCTGTTTTTGGGCTACGCCCATCTTCAGAGCAGCCTTCACATCTCACAGGTTTCACAAGAAGGCCTTGTTGTAACAACAATTAAAACACTGAGTGTGCAGGAATACCAGCGCGTTGAAACAGTCAAACTGACCTGCTTTGAGACGGCACATTTTCTATGTGAAACCTGATCATTGTATCAAATTGTCAACACAGAAGATGAGTTAGTTTATCAGTATACTAGCCTGCTGATAGAAGCAGAGGGATGTGTCCAGTAGATGTGGAAATGATAGAAGCTTTTCGTCTTCCAATGCACTTGTGATAATAACTGCTGTTCACTGACCTCAGACAGAAAGTTTTTGCTAGTATTCTTCTCTAAATAAATTCCTGAATGTAAAGGCTGAATGTAGCCTCAAACTCCCCTCACCACTGAGTGGGTGGCATGGTCAGACTAACTTAAAGAGCTGCTAACCCACTCTAAAGCCCAGGGCACAGTAAGCCACTACGGACTAAACACCTATTAGCCTGCCTCTCAGGAAGCTAGTGATACCACTTGACAAGGCAAAGATAAGTGTGTGACAGAGGTGAAACTGAGGGCTCACATTCCATCCATTCTGACATTTCATAATATTTTCCTTATTTGTTCACAGCAGGTATCATATACCTACAATGCATGTAGCATTATTTTTTGCTGTGGCAAAAGTAGTAGCTATAGTTTTTATTTATGCTGCAAATCTTCTCTGCACATTTTTTTCCTCAACACTTAAGACCATTTGATATTTGGCTTACTGTAGGGCAAGAGTGGACTAAGCAAAGTTTACACTGCATTGATCTGAAATATCTACAGTAGGACTTATAAATGACCTTCAGTTCAGTCTGTTTTTCCTTCCCATTTGAGCTGAAGTCATGCCAACTGTCAGGGTCATTCTCAGATTTCAGTGTCTGCAAGTCTTGGTCTGATACTACACAAGGCCAACCATATTTGGCTCAGCAGGGCTGAAGAATATTTGGAGATATTGTTGTCTGAAGTCAGTGGAGGTGCCAAAGTCTGCAGCCTTCAGCCAGTTCACTCTATAAGATCAGCAGCTGTCAGGCCTGAGTGTTTCCGGTGACAAAGAACCCATCCATGGGGTAGAAACATGACACTTGTGGCCTCTTCCCTGTAGCAGCCTGGATTGCATAATTTACCAAAAATTGACATTTTTTGTCCCTAGAGACAAAACAAAACCAACAAAAAAAATGTCTGATAACAGTGGGCGGTGTCCCGACAAAAACAGGAGCGGACCAATACATTCTTGTCATTGTTTCTGTTGCCTCCTACCAGAGAGACGTGGCACCTCTTTCACAGCAAAGGTCACTTCAACACCTGCTGTGTTTGTTTTTGTTACAAAGAACATAAATGCCACCTCCCTACCTACTGGGCCTGCTTTACGTAGTGAAAAATGAGATCCCATCACAAAGTAGACAGAGACAACACCAATACATTCTAGTTGTTGTGAATGTGCAAGACACAGTCCTTGTTTGTTAAATGCAAATAACATTTTGAAAGGGCTATTAAGCCAAACAAGCAAATGACAGCTTGTCTTTTGCTAAAGCCAAACAAGCAAGTGCGGAAGCCAAAATGATCAGCGACATTTGCTTTCTTTGGCATTGCTGAAATGTCTTGTGATTGTCAGTTGGAAGTATTTTAAAATGCCAGTGGCTGTAGAGTCTTTTGCTCCAGAACAGAGTGCAAGCTGAAAGTTAAACATTTCAGGGGCGAATTCCCAAAGAATGGATCGCGGTCGGTGAAAGCACCATGGATTGTGCATCACTTGCAACAGATATCTGCCCAGTCCCTAGGTCCATCTCAAAAACAAATATTGCGCTGATGGTATTACAGAGCAAACGCACCCATTACGTTTTTTGCAAAAGTTTTGCATCTTTTAAATGTCCATCTGCAGTTTTCTGTAGTGGTCCCAGTAATATTTGTTCTTAAGGTGTAGCATGTCACATGAAAGGGTTAAACGTTTGAGTCAAAAATTTTTATATATGCAGTTGGAAGAACGATACTTTTGAACTGTATCTACTTTATACTAACTCCTGCTGCTCTTCCATTTGGTGCTGTCTGCAGAATGTCTCTAGTTTCATGCAGTGATTGTTATTTGGGGTGTTCACCTCTGGGCGCATGGAGAGCTTTTTTCTGTTCTACTCTGCTCTCTGCTGGACTGTTACAGTGCGTAACCGTCTTCTCCGTTTCTCACAGCAGTGGGTTTTATGTTGTTTTACAGTTTCATTCCCTCATGGTGAATATCAGGTATTGTACTATCTGTACCATCTCTGTTCATATGATGTGATGGCCTTGCCTGGCTACAAACACTGCTGCCATATGACCGGAATGTCAGCCTTTATAAATGCGCTTCAGTTACCACCTGCTCTCTGAAGAGGCTAATCACTGTAACTGAGAGAGGTCCATTTGCATAGAAAGGGGACAATTTTGCGGCAAACTTATTTGAACTAATTTTAACGTCCTGGCATTGCAGTCAGAGGTGCATTTCACCCTTTAAGAAAAGATTATTTTTGTCCTATCTGTGTAGGTTTAGTGGCCACAAAAGCCGCTCTGTCCTTTTGTAAAATTTGTCCGTCAGTGTGCATGGGAATCACTCAGTCACTAGGAAAAACATTTGAACTTTTTAAAAAAAAGCATGCATGAGTAATTCCAGCAATGCTAATGGCAGTTACCACTTGACAAAGAAAAATTGTGAGAAAGCGCCCTTATTACAGTCTAAGTACCAGTTATGTGGACTGTAAAATACAGCAGGCACTTGTACACCACATGTTCACTGTAATTACAATCTAGGTACAGGGTATGAGATAGGGTTTAGTAGTAGGCGAGGTGGGAGTTCCTCATTGTTTCAAGAGTATGAGCTAGTGTACAGAGTAATCTCCTAAATGCTGATGTGTTACCAACGTATTCCCAGTGTCCTTTACGTGCAAAATATTGACACTGTTTTTTGTGAACTGTAATCTTAAGCATTAACCTTTTTTTGCTATTTTTACGTCTAGTCAATGACACAGAGGAAGTGGGCCCACTGCAGACAGTAGACATCAGCAACCCCGCCACCACCAAGTGGACCCTGCGTGACTTGGAGCCTGTAAGCAAATACAAGTTGTACCTGCGCTCCTGCACCACGGTGGGCTGTGGGCTCGTTGTCAGCGAGGAGTGCACCACTACCCTGGAAACAAGTGAGTGATAGAGGGTCCAGAAAGCAATTGACTAAGCGGTGTATGTGTGGGTGGGTGGGTGAGCGTGTTGCTTCCTGCTGGAGACAACGAGAACACGGACTAGCTATGAGGTGCAGAATTGGCTGGGCAGAATTGAAGTCAAGTAGGTGACGAAGCCATTTGACTGTTTCAAAATGGCTTTGAACTAGTGGAATATGATGTATGCCTGGGCAGCCAAGCTTTTCATATATCCATGTAAGTAATTTTTGTGGATAAACAATTTTATATGGGTGTAGTGGAGGTTTTCATTTGTCACTGTCATGAGAGAGCAAGTGCTTATTGATTGGACAGAGAAAGTGAGCTATGAAACAATCAGCTAAGAAAGAAAATTGCTTTGAGCAGGAGGGAAACTGAAGGTTTTGATACTGAAATTGTGTAATCATGAAAGAGTTGGTGGGTAGGTAATCATAATGAGCCGGCTTGTAGCATGTAATCTTTTCTTTTCAATTACATATCATCTGTGGAGGACTGCACGCCATACTTGAGCTGGCTCAAGCTCAAGTCAAGCTTCTGAGAGATTGCGGGCAGTGGTATGAATGATTGGATGGGAAATGAATCAAGAAACAGCGCTTGGATTCACCCGAGTGTCAGTAAAAATGAACTGCAGCAACAGATACTGTCAGCATAAATAATTGGGTGGCGCTTTTAATACGAATGCACCCCAAAGAAATTTGGTATGTAATTCAAGTTGTTACGCAAAAACAAAAAGCTCAACGTAATGTTGAAACACACTGCAGGTGTTGAATATACGAGCGATTACTTAGTGTTTACTGGAAGAATCCTTACAATCACAGAAAGAAACTTAATTGGCTCTTAGGGGTTGTTTATTTGCATGCTGAAAAGCCAGCAAAAGTGATTACAGGAAGAAGGTCTCATTTTTTATGTATTGAATTGCAATTTTGAGGAGCTATTACACGTGTGTGTGTGTGTGTGTGTGTGTGTGTGTGTGTGGGAGACTTTTTTTCATTTGAGCATGAAAGTTATTTGTGGCAGTTGTACTATCACTGTGTGTGTATGTCCGTGTTGTTTTTGTTAATTGCCCTCTGCCAGCTTCCTCTTACACCACTAAAAAAGTGCATTGCTTTGAGCATTACCTTTGATCATACAGTGTGTACTGTTGATGTGTGTGAATGTGTAAACGTCTGCTTAGCGATGCATTGCTTGTCCCTTCTGTCTTTTTCTTTCTTTCTATTCTTTTTTCCACCCCGCAGCTTCCACTTTGGCTTCCACTGTTGGCCTCAGTATGTAGATCTGTGTTCATGCAGAAACTGTGGCACGTCATACCTACACATACAGTCCCAAATACAGCTGATAACATACATTTAATTCTGGAATTATACAATTGCAATTACAATTTGCTGTATGTTGGTATGACATGTTGAACAGTCATGATTATAATTTTAGCTAGCGTGCATGCTTTAGATTTAGAAATGTCGACAGGTGTGGTTGCTACAGGCCTGAATAAACCATTCAGTGTCAAACAGTTTTACACATTTTATTTTGCCTGTACAGAATTAAAAGGCTCCAAACACTCAGTTCCTCTGCAGATAATTGACCTTGTCTGCTGTTTGCCCTTGCCATCAGCAGAGAGCACTCTGATGCCTCCTTTCATTAGAAATGTCAACTTCTTCTTAGATAAAGTTTGTGGCTCCCTCTCGAATAGCAATGATAATGAGTAAGCTAATTATAAATTCATATTAATCTTGGCTCATTAGTGACTGTAAACGAATATTGACTTTTATCCTAGCAACAGCAGACTCAGTGCAACTTGTCTAACTCCAGCTGAGGAAATAAATGATGCTTTAAGAGCAAAACCCAGGAAGAGCATCAGACACGCCAGACATCCGTCCTTCTTCCGTTTAACGATGCAAAAAAGAACATTAATTCACTTTTAAAAGGCTCATGATCGAGTTAGTTAAACAGCAATTCACCTTGCATATAAAAACAAATGTAAAATGAAGTTTTGGTATTCTAGATTATGTTTCACATGTAGCATTTGTGATTAGCTACTAACTTTAGAGTTTAGCAGGAAATAGCATGTGTGCTAACAGTAGAATGCAGTGCCCCAAGCTCTAATCCAAATTGTAACCACAAGGTCTGTCTTTCTTTTCAGGCAAGTCAGCTTCCCCCTCACCTCCAAGCACTCCAAAGTCCCCAGTGACCAAACCCACTCGTTCCACCATAGGTAGAGCTGCAGCACATTGTGACACAACAGAAAAAACAGTGATATCATAAATATGGAAAAATATGAAACCAAATACATGTTTTATCTGAACATTTTGCAGGTGACATGATGACATCCCTGGACTCATTTGGTTGGCTTTTATCTTAAAGTACATTCAAAAACAAAAACACAAAATATTATGTAGGCTAATTAGCTGTTTCATGTATTGTTTTTATAGTTGATGTTGTTTCCAGTGGAAACAAGGGTTGAAATTTTAGGTTAACAGCTCAATTGTATTGTTTGACAAGTGCATACTGATGAAAAAGACGGTTTTAATTTCTCTGCTGTACCACGGGGGAAATCTAGGATACTAGATCTATATCCCGAGCCGACAGTGTAGCTGTAGAGTGCAGTCACTTGAAGGGGACAAATATGTCTAATTGTCAGTGATTGATTTGTTGGGCCCCAGCCCCCCCTGTGCCCGCCAATGTATTGACCCAACAGTCACCTGACATTTCCATGTAATCTTCAACAGGGTAAACAGCAACACGGCCAGACAAGAGGTTGTCCGGGGCAGAATGCGAGTTGAGAGAATATAGTGAGGTGGAAAGTCCTCCTGGGCCGTGCTGGGGAGGTATGAGCTCATACTGGGAGGGTGATATTTACAGGACACTGGGATAAGTGGATAAGTGGAAGCTGTTGAAAGCTCCCATATCAGAATATTTTCTGGCCTCTCCTTATAAAAAAAAAAAAAAAGCCTGCTGACTTTGAAGCGGCATCTTGCAGGGCATCAGCTCCCTGCTGGGGGAGCAGCTGCTTTCTGCAGCATTTAATAGCAAGCTGAGGCGCGGCAGTGACAAAACACGGCAGCCAGCCTTGGGATATTTTTAGTTTAGGGGCCTATGTCAGTCGAAGTCATCGTGCAGTTCCAATGATTGGAATTACCGTAGTTGCAGACTAATCCATCAACATTAGTCAGAGAGTGTCATTTGCAGTGGTTGGGATGGGCAGCACAGACGCAGGTGTCCGTGTGTGCTGAATTATCACCTGAGCAAATAATGCACCTGAGCTGGAGACACAGCAGAAGATTTGCATGTTTGCCATGGGGAAATGAAGTGGATTGTGCTCTGTTGACTAGCTTAGACAGCTGCTGTCAAGGCATACTTTCCCCATACTAATGATGCACATCATTCACTACATTATTAGATTTTCCCAGTTGGGTTTCAAAAGGCTACATTACATATGTCGGAGGTAGATGAAGCTTAGTGCAAGTGAAATATGCTCTTGCTTTCAAAGCTAATAACATGAAATATGATTATTAAAGCCCACTAATAATTGGATAGATCAAAGAAAGAGAGTATAATCAGGGCTGTAGCTAGCATTTCAATTCAATTCAATTCAATTTTATTTGTATAGCACCAATTAATAACAGAAGTTATCTCAGGACACTTTTCAAATAGAGACCCAACAGTACCCACTGAGACCAGTGAGTCAGTGAAGATGGTTGCAGGTTGACTTTGTAACATCTGTCCACTGAAAAACAGCCTCTTGGCAAACTTTATAGGAATGTTTAATTCATGTGCACTGTAATAAAAAAAAAAATTCATTCATTTCATTTTTTCACTGACTAAATAATGAATCATTAAATAATCAATAGATTAATAGATAATGAAAACAATCATTAGTTTAAACATCTTTTAATGTGACTATTATTTGGCAACTAACATTAAACAGAAGGATTTGGTATTTCTCCAGAATTATTACATTAAATATAATATAACAGTGAATTTAATTAATAAAATTAGAAAAAAAGAGACAATCTGAATTCTGGCCCTTCAGTAGGGGTCATTTGACCTCAGTACTGTATTTCTAAAATTGTGGTTATGGCCTTGAGTATAACTAGTGTTGACCAGTGTGGGCGTGTAGAATATCTCTCTGTGATATGACAATAATGTAAAACATGAACTATACAAAACATTCAGGAATCATCACATAGTTTTGATGACAAATCTCCCTTTAAGATCGCTGCCGATCTCCATTTAGCTTTGCAGGCTCCACCTGCGGTTCCATTTCCATATCCACATTACTCTTGTCATTTTTATTGTTGAGGGATTTACCCGACGTCCCCCTCTGTCAGACGTAATTGATGCCTCCTTACACTAGTGTTAGGAAACAGAAGAGCACGCGTTTGCCTCTTTCACAGAAGGTGAAGAGCAGCATCCTTCATCGCGTAATGACAACACTCCTAACCCCTCCAAGATGGCTTTGATCTGCTTTGTCCTTTACTAACCCCTCTTTGCCACTTTCTCTCTTTTCTCATCTTCTCTCATTTCTCCGTCAGTCCCGGCCCTGTTGAATGTTCGCTCAGCTGTTAGTGACAGCTTTGCAAATATCAGCTGGATTTCTGGAGGAGAGCACAGGGAGTTTTATATTGCATATATGAACAACCGTAAGCTCATATTTTTTCCTCTGTTCGTTTCTGGACGTTGGTAGAGTGATCTGAAGTAGACTGTGTAGGTGAAACTTTAGATGTGCTGTGTCTGAAATGTTCCTTCATGTCTTTTCATTCATATCTATCACTAGATTCAATATCATTCCCATGAGAACTAACCCATCCTGATCCATTCACCCTCTGCACAGGTGAGGGTCTCTGGAAGATATCAGAGGCCTTAAACACCTCTAAGAATTTCCACATCATTGACGGGCTGGAACCTGGGGCAGAGTACACTGTGCGCCTTATAAACAGCCGGGTTGATAATTCTAGTATATTTGAAGATATTATCTCGACCGGGTCAACAGGTGAGGAGGCAAACCAAAACAGCTCAAACTGAAACTAAAAGAAAACAAAGTAAAGCCAGGCAAAACTAATTGACCTCTCATTGAACAGACTGCACCCAACGCGTCCTTGAGCGGTGACTCAAGCCGCGGTGTGTGGTCCTTTGCGGTGTCACTAGGATTTAATTTAGCTGTTCAGACTGGCTGAGAAGAATTACATTTGTACAGCGTTCCTTACTTGATTAATTAGACAAGCAGGATTAGCTGTTTAATATTAATATTGGACCGTTTCCATCAGCGGCGCGCCCTGCCACCTCCTGCCTTTGCATCAGATAGGCTTTGTCGATCGTAAACATTCAATCAAGTGTCCCGATGAAAAGGCCAAGGCGTGTCAAAGTCACCGGGTTTTGTTCTCCTCAGGTCTGGCCAGCATCCACGGAGGAATATCCACCCAGGGCTGGTTTATCGGCCTGATGTGTGCCATCGCTCTCCTCACACTCATTGTGTTGATCGCCTGCTTTGTCAACAGAAATAAAGGAGGGAAGTATTCTGGTAGGTGCTCACTTATAAGCACACACACATCACCTTGCTTGCTTGAATACTAATTGCTGCTTTGAGGATCATTATGTTTCCACTTCACCGTTTGTTGCTATGAAAGAAATTATAAATCATCCTCGAAGCTATTACAGGAATACGTAAGCTGATAAGTTGTGTTTATTTCAGGGCACAGAATTATTTTAATGCAAATTTATATGTAAAAAATGCTTGTGTATCGATAGGAAAATGAGCATTTCTACTGTATGTCCAACCTTTGAATTTTGCATCATTTAGACGTGCAGCTTTTTCCAGCTACAATCTAAACAAAGTGCAGCCCACAGCGAGACAAAATGCAAATGCTGCACACGGGGTGGCTGCTCGGGGAATGATGACATAAGCTCTATGGTATCTCAATGTTATTCCTCCTATTGGGGACACGAGAGTCCTTATCGGCTTTATTATTCACAGCTAATGGCCATCGGGTTGTCATCTGGGCAGCGATCGCTTCACTCGTCAGCAGAAAAAAGAGCGAGACGCAGCTCTGTCCTTTGTTTTCTCATTAAGTTCTCATTATCACCCGTAGCTGCAGCAACCTTTTCTTTCATTCGTTTCTTTTCTGTTACATCACATATAGAACTATACATTTCATTTGTATTGTGTTTTTACTGCGCATTTATATAAAAAGAACATGTAGATAAAATGTTTTATACAAGATAAAGCTTGAATTTTATATAAGGTGAATTAGAATAGATTTGGAAACATGATATCCAAATGTATTCAAACCTATTTGAAACATTTATTTGACACTTTGCAATCTTTTCTAAGGCTTGCACTGATCTTTCATTCATTGAATAAGTGCAGGGAATCAGGGACTGAGACTCAGACTCAGACTTATTCAAACAACGTAACAGTCAGGGGACACAGTGATCTTCATTGGCAGCCGTCTCTTGTGGAAATCACTGATATCTTCTCTTCATTTTGTGAGCAGTAAAAGAAAAAGAGGACCTTCACCCAGACGTGGAATCCCAGGGCATGAATGACGACACATTTTGTGAATACAGGTAAGCCTAACCCTCGGAGCACTATTTCACCACCTCACTGCAAGTCACGTGCAACAGTATATGATTTTCTCTTCTGCTAGCGGTGGTTTTTCATCCTCTTCTCTCAGTAATTTTCTCTGCATTTCTCCTCTCGCTGAAAAGACAACCCCACATGCACGAGGTTCAAGTGGAGCATTACACTTCTTCTGTTCAACACGTTTGATGGACTAAGTAACCGGAAAGTATGTGATAAACAGCAGTAGCATCCCTCAGCTGTTTACACCTCAGTGTTGTAGGAGTGGTAGCATCCCTTTATAGGACACTGTGAGCTTAGATACAGTGTTGGTGTTTGTGATAGACATTGCATCATAAAGGGAGCCGCAGGGCCGTTCGAATGTTGCCATTTTCTGTCCGGATGGAGCTAAATGCAGGCTGCCCAGCACACAGCAGGAGGCTGAAACCAATCAGTCTAATTGAAAGCAGCTCATCTCCAGGGCAGTAATATCTGGGCACGTTTCATTAATCCTTCAGTGGTCCAATTCATAACAATCTACCGCAGTATGAGTCCCGGTGTAATTCTCCAATCAGTGGGATCTGCACAGCACAACAAATCCTGATGTGATGAAGTCAAAAGTGCCTCAGTGTGACAGGATTCATACTTTGTCCCGTTGACTCCAGGTGCTGGTTGCCCCAGCTATTAATAAATATATCATGAAGTTTGTGTGTTAGGTTTCTTTTTATAACTACTAGCTAGTTTCAAACAAGTGTTCGGTTGCGCCATTCAGATTTAAGTCAAGTGTCTCAGACTGTAAAGACTTCAGTAATGTGTAAACCTCTTGCTGGGACATACACATCTGTAATCAAAAAAAACAGCAACATAGCACAACAAGAAGTTTCTTAAGATTGGAACATGACTTGTAAAACAATTATTTTTAGGTGAACAAATAATATAGTAAACTTAAAGGAATAGTTCAACATTTTGGGAAATACGCTTATTCATGTTCTTGCTGAGAGTTAGATGAGATGATATAGACCACTCTCATGTCTGCATGGAAAATATGAAGCTATCTCCAGCAGCCAGTTAGCTTAGCACAAAGACTGGCAGAAACTATGTCTTGGCCGGGTCTTTACTGGTTGCCTGGCAACTGTACGGAGACCATGAGACTTTAAAAAGCTACATATAATGTATGTTAATGTAGAGGTGCTGGTAGGTGGATTTTGTTAGCCGGCTAGTTGCTTCCCTCTGTTTCCAGTTTTTTTTAGCAACCTTTTCTTTCAAAAGAGCCATTTTGGCCCAAAAACTTCAGCAGCATGGGTGGTGAATCATACAAATCTGTCCACACATTATTAAATTCTCTTTTTTCCCTTTTTTTTGGATTTAGAATATTTAGGTTTGGCAAAATAAAATCTTCATATTTACCATACAGACATGCAAGTTTTATCAATCCCCATCTAACCCATCTAACTCAGTGAGTTAATTCAAGTAATGCTTTATGCTTTAAGTGACCATCCTTTTTAAATATAAGTATGAATGTTTTTATCCCTTTACCCTTTTTATCCTAAACTCTCTAAATAAACTAACATCTCTGAACACTGTGACACTGTAACGTAACACAAACTCTTGATATGTCATCCAGTCCATAACAGTACTCATGTAGACTGGGTCAGCCAACATTATTGGCATATCGTTTTATAATTTGTGGTATAATACCTTACCTACACCTGACACTCATTTGTGCAGTGCGACACATTTTAACTGAGCGATCTCCACTTAGCAAATACTTATGATATAACAAGGCTGGGTTTGATTTTACCGACAGGTGGTGCAAGTGGCTCCAGGGTCAGGGTCCAGAAAGTTACTTATGAGCCTAATCACATAAAAGCGCATCGTGTTTAGTGGTCTGGCAGTTAAAATGCGTCACAGGACCACAGCATGTGCAACCTCAAAAATCAGCACCAGTTTAATATCCCCTCAATATCTCATTTCTCATCCAGTTGTCGCTTTGTCATACGCATTGATGCATGCGCAGCATGGTGATTAATATTGTCTCAACATGTGCGCCTGTGATTATTTCCCATTGGTCAGCCAGAGGTAATGTCAGTCACAGAGGCTCATCATAGAGGCAGTGATAGCTCCAGCCTGCACCTTCCCATCCTCTCCAATAAACCATAGAGTGAAGCCATGGGTGAAATGAGGTGATTCTAAATCCACTGTGCCCCTCTTGCAGTGACAACGACGAGAAGCCACTGAAGGGCAGCCAGCACTCGCTGAGCAGAGAGATCAAAGCAGGGGACAGCGGGGACAGCCTGGTGGACTACGGCGACGAGGACGTTCAGTTCAACGAGGATGGCTCCTTTATCGGCGAATACGCCGGGCGAAAGGAGAAGAGGGTGTCCGCTGAGATCAAAGCCACCGTTCAGACCCCGGCATGAGGAGCGGAACCGCCATCCATCCGTCGTCCCCCGGACACCGTTTTCATTAAACCTGCTGGGAGGAACAAATGAAAGAGGAAACAGACATTATCCATACCGAGCACAAGTTTTGTGTCAAATGTAATGCGTCATTGCCAACTGCACACTGCCACTCTCATTTTATAAAGCTCTGTTTTGTCAAGTTGCAACAGAATGACCATTACTAAATACTGTGTATATATAGTGTATATTGTATGTGCGGAGTGTCTTTTTTTTATAATTATTATTACACAAAAAATTTAGAGGGCTTGAATTTTCTTTTTTTTATCTCCATTACTTCAGCTGCAGTACTGTTTGTACAAATGTTTCACTCTCCATTGCACATCATTATATGCAGCTTTGCCTCCGATGTCATCTTGTAGCAGACCACACATAAGTGGGCATATCAAGTTGATATTTTTCAATTGGAGTGAATATTACTGACCTTTTATATTTGAAATGGAGTCATTAAATATGATGTAAGATGTGTATAAAGGTTGCCTATTAACTTATTTTTTTCCAGTGGTTTTATACCTGACAAAATAACAAGGAAATTTGCATATCCTTACATATCATAAACACTGATTCTCGAGTCATCAATCACCCTGTGATGTTAGAAGAAAATATAATTTAGTTATAATGTCTTGTTTAGCATTTAGAGCCATTGGACAGTATAAATCACAAACCTCAGTCTGTGCTCCCCATAACAGCCCATTACACGTCACTGCTGTAAGATCTGGAAGAGTTTCAAAAATTTAATCCATGACACGTTAAAACTGTGTTAAAACTATAATTACAGTTCAGTCCAGTTTATAGACAAAACATTTTACAATGCTACTGCTGCCAATAGCTGGTATTTCAAATCAAGTTTCTCTGAAAACATACACAGGTCGCCACAAAGTAAAAAAAAAATAATAATAATAATTTAACATATTGGGCTTTTCTTCTGAGAGTAAATATGAGCTACGGCTACCAGTCGGGTAACTTATCTTAGCATAAAGACTAGCCATTTCCCTCTATTTCCAGTCTTTATGCTAGGCTAAGTTAACTCATTTAAACATTTCCCAAGACATCAAACAATTCCATTAAAGCGGTATTCCAGTGATCTAGTGTTTTGCTTCCATAATGTTGGTAAAAATCAGAACAGTTCCTAGTGTTGATCAAACTCCAGTGCTAGACCCCACACTTCCCATAATTCATCTTTCTTTCATTAGAAAGATGCTATCAGGTAAAGTCCACGCCCCCAGTAACGCAGTCATTTGTAGTCTAAAAATCCTAAACCTGGTGACATCAACATGACATCATCAGGGTTATTTTTTTAAACTCCAGAGCGGTATTTGTCCGCTGAGTAGTTCTCTACATGATCAATAAACGTAACTATTTTCATGTGTGAATTAGTGGAGTGCCCTTTAAGAAGAAAGTGTATAGTACCTGTGATGGATTTTTGTAATCAGATTACTGTAATCTGGCTTCCTACCCTGTTGAGAGACAATATACTGTAGTCACACACTGTTACACCAGTCTTAACAAGCCTTACTCTGTTACTTTCAATATACTGCCAATCAAACCACAACCACTTTGTTGTTCTGCATTAACTTTAGCACCATATTCAGAAAAT